CGCACTCATCAACCTGCGCCAGCTGCTGCGGAGCAGSCCCCGTTGTGGGTCCTGGTGTGAGTCCTCCCAAGCGGGGTGCCCAGAGTGCCCTGCTCCAGTGATTCCTCTTTATTTATTAATGCTTTATTTGAGGGGTGCTCCTCATTACTGTAAGTTTGCAGTTTGCTTTTCTGTGACGGTTCATATTCCAGGGCCCACCCAACAAAATTAATAAGAAAAGAGAGTCTAATAAACAGCAGGCCCAAAAAAGAGTTGTCCTCATAATCTCTCTGTAGTAAATAGCAGGTCTGGTTCAGCTCAGACTCCATGATCCTGGCATGGCTCCTGCAGGGGCATGGAAAATGGTACCTTGGGGATGCGTCCCRTAGAGCTGTTCCCTTCCCATGCCCTGACAGAGAGCGGGAATCTCACATGGAGGGATTCCTAGGGCAGGCAGGAGGCCCGGGATCTCCACATTCTTTCGGACAGCCAGGAGCCAGGGCCCTCTTTGGATGGGAAGGAGCCAAGGCAAAGGACCAGTGGCTTCCTTGGGGGAATTGATGGGAAGGATGGATCACACCAAGAGAGTAGCACTTGGATGCAGAACCTGACTTGCTTTGGTGGATTTGAGGGAGGAAATGGTTATCCAGGGAGCCGGCAAAGGAAAAGAAAGACTGAGAAACTAGAGGGGAGGTAGCAGCCCATGGACCTGCCCAGGCCAGGGAAAAGGGAAAAGAGCAAAGCTGGGCATGGCCCGGGATGTGAAGGCTGGATTTGGGAATAGCTGCGGGGCGCTGGAGTCCCGCTGAGGGTGCCCCCCTTGGCAGCTGCTCTCTCAGAGACTGCTGAGATATATAGGGCCTTTCAGTTCTTAACTTTACATTATCATAAATAGAGTAGGTTAATTTATATCTTGAGAAACCTTTGGAATATCTGTGTGCTTCTGACATCTAAAAATTACTATTAACTGTTCATCTTTTGTAAGTGATCCCGGGCCTCTGTTTGGATTTGATAAGCAGAACTGCATGATTTACAGGGGGAAGAAAGATGGTTTCTGTGGGTGTGCAGATGCAGAGGAAGTGCATAAATGCAGGATTAATGCCACCCAAGAACTGACAGCTAAGATTCAGGCTTCAGGAGGCAATGATGAAGTGTCTGTAGTCCACGTCCCTGCATTAGCTTCATTAATTATAGAAAGGCCACTAGATCAGCCTTTAATGCCGTGGTGGCGAAAGGAAACGTGGCTAATCTGAAGCGACCAGCAGCCCCATCTCTTGATTTGTGCTGCTTCGTATTCCATGCAAGTGAAATGTGGGGTGAGGGAGGAGTGCTGCTGAAATAGGGTTTWACCAGTGGTGGATTTATTGTGTTTAACTTTAAAGATGACCTTTTAAACAAAGGCAGTGTTCAGTTCCGTTTGGAAGACCTGAAGAGTGAGAGCACCTGGAAAATTTGTGTCTGTGTGCCGTTAATGACAGATGCAGTATCACAGAGACAGGGACTGGAGGCTGAGCGACCGCCCAGACCGTCTGTGGCGAAGGTTTC